TTTTTAAGAGATGGTGTTTTGCTATGCTGCCTATGCTGGTCTCCAACTCTTGCCCTCAAGTGATCCGCCCGCCTCAGCCTTCCAAAGTGCTGGGATCACAGGTGTGAGCCCCTGCCCCAGCTTACCCTGTGCTTCTGCCTGTGAGGTTCACCTAAGTCTCCCCCCATACAGAGGTGGCTCATGGTCTGCATACTAAATTGGGAGCCTTTTCAGGTAAATGAAGATTACCTTCATACCACAAATGCTTTTGAAATTGCCAACACACCCTGAGGCCTCAAGCTGCCCAGGCAGCAAAGGGAGGCCTGCACCAGACAGCCACAGCACGGGCCCAGGAGGCCACAGCACAACCAGAGGCCTCAGCTCCAGTGAAAACTGCACAGAAAGAGGCAAAGGCTGGAGGGTGCTCTGAGCCCAGGAGTTAGACCGCAGTGAGCTACAATCCTGGGTAACAAAGCGAGATTCTGTAGGGGGGAGGAAAAAGCCAGTCTCTTACATCCCTGGCTTCCTCTACTTTCTAAATCTAGAAGCCACCACGCAGCCTTTTCTAGTATTCAGAAGGCCTCAGGCATGTCCCTGAAGGTCTTTCTAATGCTGCTGATCAACAGCAGCAGCCGTGTAGAGGATGCCGCTTTCCTAAAAGCAGATGAAAAGGACAAGCGTCCTTCATTTCCAGCCCCCAAGAGAACTGGCCTCTCCCACACCCTGACCTTCCCTCTCCCCTGTGGCTGCCACAGCTCAAGAAAGCAAAGCTCTGCCAGGCGTGGTGGTGATGCTTGCGGTCCAGCCACCCGGGAGGCTGAGGAAGGGGATGCCTTGGGCCTGGGAGGCTGGGGCTGCAGTGAGCTGAGATGGCGCCACCGCACTGCAGTCTGGGCTTTGGATTCCTGTGTGGGCTCCACAGGCCCAGAAGCTCTCACTCAGCATGCACACAGGGATTTTGTTTTCTACCATTTCAGGGTAGTGATCTTAGAGGAAAATATTCAACAGAAAGTAAAGCATGACGCAGACAGCGGGAAGCCCTGCAGTCCCACAGCTGAGTAACCGGGCAGGGTGAGGCAGCAGGTGCTGGGCTGCCATTAAGAGCAAGTCTCTGGGGAAAAACAAAAGCTGGCGTGGGGGCTCACACCTGTAATCCCAGCACTTTGGGAGGCCGGGGCAGGCGGATCACTTGAGGTCAAGCTGGAGACCAGCCTGACCAACATGGAGAAACCCCATCTCTACTAAAGATACAAAATTAGCCGGGTGTGGTGGCAGGTGCCTGTAAGCCCAGCTACTCGGGAGGCAGAGGCAGAAGAATCACTTGAACCCAGAAGGTGGAGGTTGTGGTGAGCAGAGATCACAACACTGCACTCCAGCCTGGGCAAAAAGAGCAAAACTCCGTCTCGTATTAAAAAAAAAAAAAAAAAAAAAAAAAAATTAGCCACCTGTGGACCCAGCTACTCAGGAGGCTGAGGCAGGAGGACTGCTTGAGTCCGGGAGGCTGAGGCTGTAGTGAGCTGTGACTGTGCCACTCACCGCAATCCAGCCTGGTTGAAAGAGCCAGAGAGCTGCTCCCACAGGTGAGGTGCACAGGGGTGGGGTCAGAAGGAAACCCCAGGAGCTGGCAATATCTATATCTCTGCCTCTCACCCCCAACCCGGACCCAAAACCCCCAGACAGGGCACAACTCAAGCTCCAGGCTTCCTGCTCATGGCTGCAAGGGGCACCAGGCTGACTTATACAAAGCACTTAACCAACACTCATTTCAGGAGAGCAAGCCCCTTTGGAAAGCGCACTGTCCCACAGGGAAGGAATTTAAGCATGGCTGGGGGCTCCTCACCCAGCGTGCAGCACCCACACTCACCTTCCTTAAGATTTTACCACCAAATTGAGCTCGAATACAAATGCACTTAAATACAGTTCGATCGACTGGACAGGAATTGGCATTCTGTAAGAAATAAGAATGGTATCAGAATCTCGTAAATCACTTCCACTTGGAGATCAGAAATGTCTTTTACACTGAAGATGACCAAGCGTCTGCTAAACGCCCTGTGAGCCAGGCTGCACCAGCTGCTGACACGACAGTGCAGGGAACAGTGAGCCCTGCCTGCGAAGCTGCGCGCCCGACGGGGAGGGAAGGGCAGCTCCACCAGCGGGAGCGTCTCGGTGACAGGTAAGAACCATGACGGGAGGCGGGAGGCGTGGGGGCGGCACCGTGGACAGGCCCCTCTGCAGTCAGCCTCTTCAACACTTTTGCCAGCTTTTCCAGGAGATGGTTGGACAATGGTCACTAGCACATTTCTCGAATTTTTCACAGTATAGATAACCGTCAGGTATGTGCTGCAGTATTTTTTCTGGCTTTATCAGTACTGTTTTGACCCACATAAGATCTTAAATCGGTTTTACTGACGCGTACACACACAATACAACACTGATTTTAACTGAATAATTTGTTGGGCTCTGACTGTACATCCTGCCCAGTCCCCACCCGGCCTTCTGGTCCTTCCCTCTCCCACCTGGCTGCTTCCTGTTGCTGCAGGGGTGTGGCAGGTGCATCCCCTGGGGTTCCTTAGGATTGGAGCCGCAGCACAGACCCCGCTCACGGCATTCTGCCCTCTCTAGCACTGAGAAGACGCAGCACCGCCACACAAACGGCCCCCGCGTCCGTTCCCCTGCGGTGCACATCAAACACGTCTCTGTGTGGGCGCGCTTCTGCTCCTCTCGGGTAAACACCCAGGAATACACGTGCCTTTGAGGTTGTGCGTGTGACACCCCCACCTCTGGAGTCTGGGGTGCCATCCTCACCACCTGAAGGGGTGTGTGACAGTGTCCCACACGGTGGAACTGGGGTTCTGTGACACCCCCACCTCTGGAGTCTGCTCAAGGGGCGTGCAGGGCATCTCCTGCAGTGGGACCAGGGTCTCCGGAGGAGCCCTGCTGCTGTGCCCCGCACACTCACCACCAGCTTGCAGACACTCTCAGACTGCTTAGGAAATCCTTCCCTTTTCTCATCGTAGAGCTGCCGGGGCTTTCTTTTCCAAGTCTCAGGGTTTTGCTTTCTAATTCAAGATCTCGACTCCATCCAGCACGGTGTGTGTGTGTGAGCCGCTCCCAGCCTCCTCTGCCTCACAGGCACTGCCTATCTCCCACTGAGTGTGCCCAGGTCTCTTTCAGGGCCCCTGCCAAACTCCCTAGGCCTGGTTTTCATTCCTGGACCAATTCCATTTCGATCATCGTAGTTTTATAAATCACGACAACCAGCGGGCAATTTCTCCGTTTTCAAAGTGATGTTGGCAATTCTTGGTGCCTTCCCGTCTTCATGTGTGGACTTGATAACGTCTCAAGCACTCTGAGCTCCTGCTGACATGGACGGAATCTGCATCCCCACTGCTGTCTCTACAGAGTAAGGCCTTTCAAAAGGGGCCTCACTTCGTCTGATCACAGCCGTGTTAGAAAAGCTATTTAAATGAAAGAGGCCAAGGCAAGCGGGTCACAAGGTCAGGAGTTCGAGACCAGCCTGGCCAATATGGTGAAACCCCCATCTCTACAAAAAATACAAAAATCAGCCAGGCGCAGTGGCATGCACCTGTGGTCCCAGCTACTCGGGAGGCTGAGGCAGGAGAATGGCTTGAACCCAGGAGGCGGAGGTTGCAGTGAGCCAAGATTATGCCACTGAACCCCAGCCTGGCCAACAAAGCGAGACTCCATCTCAAAAAAA